TCGTGAAAGTTAAAGAGCATATCATAGCCTTTCTCTTTAAAAGGCAACACATCAAGTTCAAAATTTTCATTTATTTATATATTTATTAGCAAATTTGTCCCAAAAAAATATAATTCTTTAATAAAGATTATGTACTTAAAAGTCTTAAATTGATGCCATATTTTGAATGCATAAGATTAGGATGAAGTTTTTCAAAATTTAAAGCTGCTACACAAGAACACTAACATCTCTTGAATCTATAGCTTATAGCACCCTAAAACAATATTAATTCAAAACCATATAAGGTGCCATAATAACCTTAATTAGAATAACAGCCAAGTAGCATACAATTTTTACAACAATCATTGACCCATTCTCATTATATTTGCTTTGTCATGATACCAACTGCGTCATAAACCATAGGGGTAACTAGAATATGCATGGGGTTTGATATTTTGCAGGATAAGGGTTGAACTGGATGAAAAAATTGATAAAAGTAGAAGTGCAACTAACCTCATTTACCTGAAGAGTTATAAATGTTTTTCTATCCCGATAGGGCATGTATTGCAACTAATAAGAGTTCCAATTTGCTTGAAAATGAAATGTTGCTTAGCTGTTCAAATAATAAAAAAACTAATAAATTCAAACAATCTAGTCAGTAATTTTTAAGATGTTATTAACTACTCCATGGCTAGGAGCCAACTCCAAGCTCTAAAGATGATAAATGCAAGTTTCCTGAGAAGGTCGTTGATGACAAAGTTTACAAACAAACAATTTCTATCCCTGTTGAGCAAAATATTTGAGTAAAGAATGTTAGAACATTGTTGAATTTTTAGGCATCAAATAATTTCCTTTAATGTACATTAAAAAATAATAGGTTCGAAGGAAAGCCATACATTCCATAGAGTAAGCAAAACCTTGTCAAAGGAATGAATTATGTCAAGAAATGAGAATAAGATACCGAAACCAATGAGACACGCCCCAACCGAGACATATTAAAGACAAATTTCCAAGGTTACAATGAAAAAAAAAATTTAATTAAAAGCCAAACGAAAGTGAAATATAAAATAAACCAGAATCAAATGTCAGGAAAATACTAATTTTGTCAAGGTTGCATGAGTCTTAACAATACCTAGCCTTAAGAAACCTTGTTTAAGAAAAAGGAACAAAAATGTTCACCAGACCATAATAAACTTTCGAAATCAAGTCTATGTTCTAGCTCATGTTTTTGTTGCTTTATTGTAAAGTGCTTTTTGGTTTAAGAAATTGGGTGCTTCAAAAGTTTTCTTTTGTTCCTTTTGTGTTTGTGTGCAATTAGATTTTTTAGAGACCTATAGCAGGTTGCAATTTAGATGCTCAGCTGCAGAATCAATTTATAGCCTTGAAGATGAGGTTATATTCTAAAAATACAATACATCAGACAAACACATGATCATCTGTTTCACATTTTTTTTGATAATATTCGAAAAATTATGTGATATATTGTTGCATTGCATCAAAATCTACTTCGAATTCCCTTTAAGGAATTCAAGTAAACTCTGAACCTAGTATTGCCATTACTCTATTTCGTTCCATTCCTCCCACAAAATAGTTAGTAGAAAATATGGCAACGGGAATATCTTGTAGTTAACTCTTCAAAAGCAATCCATTCTCTTCTTTACTAATATTGAGTTCATGAATCACTACAGAAAAAGAATCACCGCAGTTAGGGATATGAGTAAACCAAACAATGGTTAAGACAAAGACGTTAAACCCATGATGAAAAAAATTTGGAGATTCTTAATAACTGGAAATTTATTGCTCTAATGTTAAAAAATAATTAAATACATTACTACTAATGTAGTTAATTATGATGGATGTGTTTTATTGACTGGCAAAACCCAACAATATAAACATGCTCAACCAATTTTGATGGAAAAAATTACTCTATTAGCCAAGTTAAGGCTCATTCAAAATATTCTTTTTCCTTTTTTTTTTTCATAGGTAAAGAGATAGGGTGAAATTAATATAGCTAACCAACATAAAATAATTATAATAATAATAACAATCCCTGACCCAAGGAGAAATTAACTTGTGAAATAATAATAATAATAATAATAGTCCATGACATTGTACATAGAAAGATCAACTTGTGAAATTAACCTTAGAGTGGAGAATTTCTTCAACCTTTGTCCCACATTGGATCAAGGCTAAGTAGAAGTACTAATGTTTCAACCTACACCAAAAGAGTATAACTGAACTCTGTTATATTTGATTAAAGATAAAGGAGGATTATAAAAACATTCAAGTTTCATAGAACAAAACTTGCAAGTACAACTTTAACATGAATAAAAATTAAGTTTCTAACAATGGATGTAAATAGACTATAAGAAAAATAGAATTAACTAAAACAGGTAGAACAATCAAGACTTTATTCCAAGTTTCCATTCACAGCCAAAATCAAAACCATACAAAAGTAAAAAATCAATCCCATCTCTCATTAAAGACATTATTCCAAAAAACAATAGAAAGAAAAAAAAAATCTGAAAAAAAAAAAAACCAAAGACATGTTTGCACTCTGGAGAACTAATTAATCAAAAACTACCAAAGACATGTAATTTCAAGTGGTATATATATGTTAGAACTCATCACACAGGATATATAGCAATGAAAATTCCAAAATTTCTTAACAGGAGAATAAGAAAAACATGACTAAATAATTCAAAGAAGGTCATCATATCCCATAAAGAAGAAGCAATTAGAAGAATAAGCTTCACTTTTAGGAAATTCATCAGGTTTGTTCGGAATAAGCTGCAAATTTAGAAGAAGAAAATAAAGAAAAGCAAAATGGATCCAATAATTACCAGTTCAAGGTTCAGCTTCATTGATTTCTCTTTTAAATTTCTTAGACAATGATACAAAGAGCTGATTAAATATTTTATTTCATTCTTTTACCTTAACATGGTAAGATCCACATTTTTTTCCCTAAGAAATGAAATGGAGTCCTTGAAATTGCTTTTGTAGGTTGAGAGGCACTATTGTGAGGTCAAACTGCTTGTTGAAAGTAAAAAAAATTAAAAGGCCATCATTACAAAAACTCTTGAGTGAAATAATAATAATAAAAGACCATCATTACAAAAACTTTTGAATAATAATAATAGTTGACATTAATTTAGGATGATAGTTAGCATTTGTAATCTTAAAACTAATCTAAAAATTGTTTTCTTTAAATATGCATTTAGATCAGAAAAGTTAACATGTATCCTTACTGAAATATCAAATTTTCTTATAATTAAGCACCAAACAGAAAATCATGAGTAAAATTACTTCATAATCATGCTTGAATTTTACAAGGATTAAGGTAATATCTTTTGTCAATTATTATGTTTGTTACCAACTCTTGTACTTGATTTACAGCGAAGGAAGCACAAAATTCATTGGACTTTGACAATTCCTTGGACTGATCAGTTTTCAAAGGGACTGATCAGTTTTCAAAGGTTCTGTTCCATTAATATCAACTTGCTCAAACCAAATTCTGGTCCTATTGTAACAATTTTTTGATAAAACATAAAAAATAAATTCAAATATACATCAAGGAAACAATGTTTATATGAAATTGAACCCCAAATTAAAAAAAAAGATACGGAAAATGAAATTAGATGTACCATGCATTTGTCAAGGAAACGAATCCTAGGATTCTCCAATACATGATCTCAAATCCTTCTTTCAATTATTGTGTATGCTAGGGTTGTACTGCAGCAAGACTTGTATATAAGTTTACTACATTCTCATCAACAAAGTATCAAAATTCATTTACTTTTCTACATTTCATAGGGTGACTCAATGCACAGGAATTGAAAACAAATTCGCCTCAGGCAACCAGAAATATGAAATTGAACCCAAATTATAAAAATAAATAAATAAATTGAAATGCTTTGTACTTCAGACTAACCAAACATGACGACTCAAAACCCAGAACTGGAAATGAAAACGGGTCTCGAAACCTATCCAAAAACAAAATCTATCAACAAAAAATGATTGGCATAGCAGTGGCATCTGGAAAAGAGCTTGAAATTAGGACAAGGGATAGGGCCGAAGGCAGTGGATTTTATGAAGGGTTGGTGGGAGAGAATGAGTGATAAAGAAGGGATTAATCGAAGCAAAACAGAAAACTGAAAGAAGGGGGACAATTTTAAGTAAGAAAGGATTTGTAAAATTAACTTTTTTTGAGCAACGGATGTGAATTAATGGAAGCAATTGTAGAGTGACCAAAATCTGAAATCACCTTGCCCAAATTTACTTGGAAATCTGAGCAGAAAGGAGGAGGTGAAGAGATTATGGATTTCATTGGTTGAATTGAGGAATAATAAAATAGTCAAACAGTCATAAATGAAGAGTAAGAGGAAGGATACGCAGAATATATCTTCCCAAAAGAGGAAAGATGGGCCACGTGTCAAACAATCTATAAATCTAAGAAGTTCTATCAAATTGACACGTGTTATACCTATCTTCAATGGTTTATCTCTTAATATATAATAAATAAATAAATAAAATATATAAAAAATAAATATAGATTGTAATAGTTTGAAACAACACAATTATTCTCTTCTAGTTTATGGTTTGAGGTCGTAAGGATCCACGGGTCCATGATAATAATGGTTGATCTCATTCTTAGTGGTAAAGGATTTATTAATGATGTATTTCTTGTGAAAAATTTATTTGGTTTACTTCTACTTAAGATTGCATGGCTTCATCTATAGCATTTATTTATTTAACTAAACCTTTTAGAATGTGGAAAGGCATATTAAGTTTCGACAAATTTAGAATTGAGTTGAGTTGGACTCATAATGGGTAAGCTCTCTGGGTATTTATTTTTTTAATAACAAAACTTGAACTCGAATCCTTCTAGAAGAGCAAAGTTTTTTTCACTCGTACTAATAGGTTGTTAGTTTATCTATAGCATTTATAGTTGGTCTCTTGTTTTCTTGCTTGTGGAATGGCTTTCTTAGATTTCTCTAAGTATTTGCCATTCGATTCTATTTATGGCATTGTACAAAATGAAAAAGTCTTGGTCTAGCTTTGTAATTCTTAATTACTTATCATTACTACTCTTAATAGCCAATTATTGACTATGCTTTAGGGTCATTTTGATTGCTACAGGGTAGTTCTATTGGAGACATGATGTTAGCATTTCCTAAGCAAATTGGGAACATTCAATCAGTGTTTTAAAAACCGACCCGAAGGTCAAATCGTTTTGACCTTTGGTTTTCGGTTTAGTTGGTTTAACCAATTCAATTGTTGAAACCGTTGGGTCAATTCAAATGAATAAAATATAATGTTGTGTAGTGCTTTGACACTACAGGTGCAGTGGATCAACTAACCTTGCTCATTGTGGAGGAAACGCAAGTTCGAGCAGACACCACGTTAAAATGTAATTAGAGTATTTTTTATTTTTTAATAGATTTTTTAACAT